TGGCTGTAAGCCTTCCAACTTCCTAACTATTCCTTTATAAGTGGTTCAGAGTTCTGGGACCATCCACTGAGCCTGCTTGGTCTGGTATTCTGTGTTGTTGCTGACGGAGCACGTCACTGCACTTCCACCCGATCCGCCATCTTGTTTGTTCTCCACCCCACTAGCCACTCTTTGGAAACCCTAAACAGGGTCGCTAAGAGTTGGAACTGACTGGGCAGCACTTAACAGCAACAACTGTAGCCTTGGGTCTAGAGACCCATTGCTTCTTGCTTCTGCTTTGACTAGAGCTACTCTACGCTTATGTTCTTTTAAATAAGCTGGTGTGGTGCTGTATGATGAACACCGGATCACTAACTGCAAGGTTGGTAGTTCAAACCCCCCCAGCCTCACCTGGGAAAACCGTCTACAGGATCATAAATATGTTATATAAGGAGAGCCCTGCTGACCAAAAGGTCAGCAGTTTGAACCTAGCAGCTGATCCATGGGAGAAAGGTGTGGCAGTCTGCTTCTGTTAAGATTTACCACCTTGGAGACCCTGTGGGGCAGTTCTGTTCTGTCACATACGTTGCTCTGAGTTGGACTTGACTGGAGTAACAGCAGGTTTGGTTTTATGCTATACTAACTTTATTCTATAGTGCCACACCAGGACTCCACTACACTGACTCTAACGAGCTCTTCAGTTCTTTTTTTTTTTTAATTTTTATTGTGAATTGAGTAAAGATTTATAGACTAGATCATCAGTTTTATGTTCAACAACCCTGCCCTTCTTTTCATCTCAGTGATTGCAATCCCTTTAATTTGACCTCACTTATCCCACTCCCTCTTGCTATTTTTGTTCCCATTCCTCCTGTTCCATCCCTTCTGAATTTTGTCATTGGGTAAGTGCTGCCCTTTTGGTCTTGACTGGCTGCCTATTCTATGGTGTGTTTACCTCACGAGTGTTGCTTTCCCCCCTGTATACCTATTTAGTGTGTGACTGAAGATTGAGCCATGAGGGTGAGTTCAGCTTTAGACGTGAAGGTGGCAAAGGCTATAGTCTCAGGGTTTCACCAGACTATCTGACCAGGAAGTGTGGTCTTTTTTCTGCTTAATTTTGTTCCACATTTTCTTCCACTCTGTCTAGGACTTTCTAATGTGATCCCTTTGAGAGCAGTTGAGCGTGGTAGCTGGG